GAGAACCATTAGCACGTAAATGACATATGTTGTCATGCTTTTTCACATTTAGTACAAGTTATCAGTGATGAGTGATCATTTATCTGTCGGCGAATCATAACATACAATGACTTTTTATGAAATTTTGTATTAAGAAGTATCTCTGTACGATACATATGACAGAGGACTTCATGTGCTACTCAATTTTTATCAATAATTCATAAGCTGAAATGAAAACATAAATATACAGGGTTGTAGAAAACTACACGGGCTTTCAGAATATGTAGTTGCTTTTAAAAAAATATGTTTTTATAGTGACGGAATGCTCTAAATATGAAGTCTAACTATTTTTTTCCGGGCGTATATATAATTATATACGCAGACTCAGAGAGACAGACTTAAGTCTGTCTCTCTGAGTCTGCCAAAAGTTCATACTTTTCATATGCACGTTTTCAGGTAATTGGCTTCAAATATATTTAACGAGGCGGTCTCTCTAAGGCATTCGTCTGCCTTGCTAAAATATTTATGGGATGATAAGATGAAAGAACACTTTACAATGAATTTATAACTCTTACCTATTCAAATAACTTTTTAAGAGAAGAAGAAAAAAAGTTATTTTACAATGTATAACAAGATGAAGAGAGAATGTAAGTTTGTTTTATGATTCAATACATATAATTCCATTTTAGCTTTTCTCATTAAAACGAAAAGATTTGGATTTTTCTTGATTTCCAAATAAATAAAATTTCGATATGGTAGACAGTTCAAGTTGCTTTCCAAATCCAGGTAGCACACTCGGGCAGAGGTCGAAAGTGACAAGTTTTTAATATTTTCGATACTGCTTTTGGCTGGCACCAGAATACTAAAATCCGAAAAACTCGAATGAAGGTTTTTAAAAATCCTTCTATTTATTGAAAACTTCTGCAAAATTAAAAAAGCTACCGCACTGAGAAAAGATTTAATTGCATAAATATTGAGCAGAAAAGTGGTGAAAAACATAGATTCTTTTTTTAAGAAGAAAATAAAAGTCTTTTTTAAAGATTTTGTGTTTTTCACCAGTTCACGTGGTTCATAGTCTAAAAAACCCTTAGAAAAGGTGTAATGGCATCCAGAACCCGTAGACTCAGAGAGACAGACTTATATATACGCCCGGAAAAAAATAGTTAGACTTCATATTTAGAGCATTCCGTCACTATAAAAACATATTTTTTTAAAAGCAACTACATATTCTGAAAGAATATGGCGGAAAGGCGATTAAGTTCTTATGAAGAAACATCGACCTCTTCCGGAAAGCAGCTGAAGTTCTTGTGGAGAAACACCGATTGCCCCAGGAAAAAAAATGAATTTTTTGTGTAAAAAAAGGGATTGCTTTAGGAATGAAAATGAGGTTCTTGAGGAAAAACGATGAAGTTCTTGTGGAGAAATATTGATTTCCTAAGGAAAAAAGCTGAAGTTCTTGTGCAGAAGCAGGGATTTCTTCAGAAATCAAGATAAAGTGCTTCAAGAGAAAAATAGATTTCTTGAGGAACAATGATGAAGTTGTTGAAGACACTACGGATTTCTTCCGGATGACAGATGAAGTTGTTGTGGAGAAACACCGATTGCCCCAAGAAAAAAGATGAATTTCTTGTGTGGAAAAAGGGATTACTTCATTAATGAAGATGAAGTTCTTGACGAAAAACATGGATTTCCTCAGGAAATAAGTTGAAGTTCTTTTGGAGAAACCTCGATTTCCCCGCGGAAACGATGAACTTCTTGTGCAGAGACATGGATTTCCTCAGGAAAAAAGATGAAGGTCTTGTGTAGAAAGTGGAATTTTTTTATGAAAGTAGAGGATATTCTTGTGCAGGAAATGAAATTTCTTGATGATGAAGTTCTTGTGGAGAAACATCGATTTTGCACAATCACGATGAATTTCTTGTGTTGAAAAAGGGATTGCTTCCGGAATGAAGATGAAGGCCTTGTGGAGAAACATCGATTTTGCACAATCACGATGAAGTCCTTGTGAGACACATTTTATTTAAAACTGTGGATACAAACTTTACTTGGTCAAAAGCTGAAAAAGGTGAAGCAGGAATTTTGTATAATAATTACTTATATCGGTTAAAACGTGAAAAGCAGAACGACTCGTCAGTAGACGTCTGTACACTCAAATTCTGTTCTCGTGCTATTGCTTTGAAAAATGATGCGATTACAAAATCCATTACGACAAATCATAATCCAAAATTATCTGATAATGTTCAAATTGTATTAACTAGATTGAAACAGCGAGTATTAACTAATGCCGATAAACTCATATCCAAGCTTTACGATGAAGAACTAGTAAAAACGTTTGTGAGTATTTGTTCCTTTCTTTTGTACGAATACAAGACCATCGGTCCTCTCCATTCTCGAACAGCCTTGGATAGTACATAAATATATAGTCAATTCTTATTATATATGTTTCTACTTCTATTGTTTAGTTATATATGCTTAGTATATATGTTTTTATATATTGTTCTACTATGTTAAAAGTTTTTCTGTTCAATTTGTGTATGTATTTTAATTAATTTACTTAATATTTGTTATCCACAAGATCAAGCGGATAAGGCTGTGTCTTCAAGTCCCACTATTTTCTTGGTTTTTTTTCATCATTTTCCTTTAATAAAGTGGAAAAAGTTCTTGAACTTCAATAACAAAACACATTGTTTATTCTTGTTGCCCAGATTCAATGATACGTTTTAGTCTATCACTGGACAAAGGTGTTTTATTGTCTGTTAGCAGCCAACACGCTGATTGTTTGTGTAAGTACTTCCATTTGTTGCCAATCTTGGCATGAAAATAAGAACTTCATCGTTTTGGATTGATTTTGTGAAACACCCGGATACCAGAAAATGTTGCCCTTTGTGTTTGAGATAAATCTCTCGATAAAACATATTCATCATCGTCTTCATTTGACAAATTATCTTCACTATACTGACATTAATCATCTGTTTCATCGTTCCAGCAATTATCCACTAAATCTTCTTCGTCTTCTGAACTGGAGTTTTCCATTTCAGAGCTACTCACTCTGAGAGCTACTCGCAAAAATATGTTCTCCATATTCTTGCTCCACAAACATTAGAAATTGATCAGGTTTTAAATAAAAAATTTCATCTGGCAAAGTGCCAGAAGTAGAACTTGATGTAATCATAAAAGAAATTCTACAAGAGGAAGCATAAGGACGTGCCTAATTCGAAAATATCTCTGTTCAGGTCTTTTCCGTTACCGAGATAAAAGACATTATTTCCTAAAAACTAACTTTTATTTATTGTTCCGAAAGAGAGATTTTTTGGTGAAATTGATTACTTAGGCACCTGTAACTTTGTACTTGAATTCTCTGACAGTTGTAACTTTATAGAAACGTCATCCATGAGTGAGGAGAGCGCGCAAATTTTCCAAATTTTAGATTTTTTCCATTATTAACCATGTCGGACTTCTGACGTTTTCACGATTTCTACCGATGAAAAGTAAGCTCGTACTTGGCAACATGTCTCTATACTGTACTCGAGCTACTTATGGTTATTTTATTCATAAAGATATGATTATAAGTAGCCGGCAGAAAAGGTAGTTATTTTACGGATAATGCCTCCTATCTCGGTAACGGAAAAGACCTGAACAGAGTTATTTTCGAATTAGTCATGTCCTTATTCTCAGAAGTAACTTACAAAAAAAATTTTTCTTCAACTCGTCTGCAAAAAAACTCCAACCAAATCTACTTCGACTTCATATGTATATAAATCGCTTTCTAACTATCAAAGATTCTCATTAGCGTTATCGTTGTATTCATATGGAGTCGAAATAGATTTGACTGGACTTTTTTTGCAGACGAGTTGAAGAAAAATCTTTTTTGCAAGTTACTCATAAGCATAAGGAGGTGCCTAATTCAAAAATATCTCTGCTCAGGTCTTTTCCGTTACCGAGATAAGAGACATTATTCCCTAAAAACTGACTTTTATTTATTGCTCCAAAGGAGAGATTTTTTGGTGGAATTTATTACTTAGGCACCTGTAACTTTGTTCTGTAACTTGTACCCGCGAAGGAGCAGAAGCAGTCGCAGAAGCACTGAAACACAATCAGACCTTTGCCACTCTTGATCTTTCATCTAACAACATATCTGACCAAGGATTTCAACGAACCGCCGATGCATTGAAACACAATGATACTATTACCACCGGTAATCTTCGATCTAACAAAATATCTGACCAAGGCGCTGTAGTAATCGCTGGTACATTGAAACAAAATCGCACTCTTAACTCGCTTGATCTTGTGGATAATAAACATTAAGTAAATTAATTAAAATACATACACAAATTGAACAGAAAAACTTTTAACATAGTAGAACAATATAATAAAAACATATATACTAAGTATATATAACTAAACAATAGAAGGAAGTAGAAACATATATAATAAGAATTGGTGAAAAATTTAGGATTATGCTACGTGAAAAATTGCTCGATTTACTCATGAACGCACTCTTAAGTAGCTATTAGAGAGCAATATTAATTGTTCGTTTGAATTCTCGATTTTTCATTGATTTTATGCAGATTCTACCTGTGCCACCTAATGAGATCAGTTGAGCTAGATCGAAACTGGTCGTGGTAGCTCAAAAACTTCTTTAGACATACCGCCCCTTCTCTGAGGAGATTCCCTCATTAGTCAATTCCTCAAAAAGCAGAAGTTAAAGACTAGCAGAGTGAGCTTGTCTTTTCTTCAAGAGATAAGTCAGTCTGTTTTTCGATTGATTATACATGCCCGCGATATTTCTGATAAAGAAGTGCTTGTATGATTCTTATATTCAAAATCCCATAAGATTATTTTTTACCATGAAAAAGCTTTCAGCAAAATCCCTATGAAATAAAATGTGAAACATGATCGAGCTATTTCTGACATGACTATCACGATCTGCGAGGCAGGCGAACAGCGATGTTACCATTTTCCTCGCTATATACATAGTCTGATGTTAATTTACAATCACGAAAACTGTAATGTGTATGTGTTTATTGCTCTGCGAAACGAGTGCTCACATCGAACACATCATCGGCTTCTCTTAACCATTCAAATAATGTTAGATCGTTTCGTCGTCGTCGTTCTTCTGATCCATTAAATGCTGCAATTATACCTTGATGTGCCCTGCCTCGATAAGTCTCATAACTGTTATGACTACCAACATGTACCAGTACTCGCTCAGTATTGTTATTATTTGGCACAGCAGCAATTCTGCCCTCGCCTCTATTGCCAAAACTTAGTTGGGCCAATCTAGTAACGGTACCGACGACTTGTGTTACTTTCCACCCATCCGGACTGTCGTGATGGCTTCGAAGAGCATCTTCTGCTCCTTCTGTTTTTTTAACTTCTTTCCATAGTTTGTTCCTTGAAAATGTGGGATCTGTTGTAGAGCTCAATAAAAGGTTGGGTATTTGTGATAGATCACTTTCATCCGTACCACATTGCAAAACGTGTAGAAGGCAATCATCATAATGAAAGTAACGCCTTAAATCAACCAAAGCTAAATCAAAATTTTCTAAAGCATAAACGGCAGCCATATCGTCTTCCATAGTCCATTCGTCGCTTTTGGATTTAGCTGACGGTGTCGTGGAGGTATTGTCATCGTTTTCGTCGTAGTTCTCAGCACTGCGTAAAAGTGTTATAATCGACGATTTGTTAATACGTTTATCAGGCCAGCTGATTTCGTTAAGTCGATTTATTTCTTCAGCAACGTCGCGTATATCCAAGTCGAACACATGTAACATCATTATACGAGCTGCACTATCGTCTCGAGAATCATCATTGTCTTTGATAATTTGAAATCCTAACGCACATTTGATGATATATGTCTTGTTGCTCCGTGAATCACAGTTGCTCTCTAAAAAACACTTTAGTACTGGCAAAGAGTGGTTCCAAAAGTCGAATCAGTAATAGATTGACTATTAACATAGATATCTCATTAAACAGGGTTTGTAATTCGTATGAAATTGTGCAAAAATTTCGATGGGTCACGAAGACAATCTGATCAGAGCATACTCGAAAGCGTCGAAGAAAATGGGATGAAACAACAAATAGCCTCAAACTTATGAAGTTGTGTTTTCGAAGCTTTAGCTTATAGCTATTGAATATGACCACACAAGATTTTCATTGAGACCAATAAATGAGAATTTTCATCATAGTTAGCAAGGAAAAATACTGCCATTCAGCGAAAGCATATAAAAAGAATTAATTATCTTACTATTTTGACTACAGAATAGCTGAAAGTTCATTTCATCAACGAAACGGCATCCTCACTCATCCCCGACCAAATTGACTAGTCCAAATAGAAAGAACTTTGCACAAAAATATGTTCTACTCTACTAGGTGAAATTCATTTACTTAAAAGCTACAGCTGAAAATGTGTTCAGTAGGTAGAGGACGCTCAGGAAGATATAAAGAGCAGAAAAAACAAATATTGAAAATTTCAGGCTGCTAAAAAGGACAGGTTTTCTTGAAGGTTCTTCATTTTTGGCAAATATAGTACTGGCCAAAAGTATCCCCCACCCCTCAGATCTCAGCCACTACAAGTGCTGTTGCTCTGAAAACTTGACTGTATATAGATCTCGATTAATGTAGGTCAGCAGCGAAATCTGCACCTCCATACCCTGAGTCAGAAGAGACTTATGATGCATGATGTTCATTTCCATTGTGGACGTCATAACTCTAGAACAACAAAGCCTTATGAGCTGCAGGACGCGTTATTTTGTAGCCCTGTATATTGGCTATTTGTAGTAAAAATCTCATGAAAATTCATTGAGTTATTGTGAAACTAGGTCCGTTTTACTGTAAGGATGGATATGCTCAGAAATCGTCAAATCTCATTATGTGACCAATAATTCAATGTGGGTTCGACAGATCGACTTCAAACTTACAGGAAAGATAGCCCCATAGGCCCTTATTGTTCTTTAAAATTTTCAGATTTCTATCGCGTACTAGAGAGAAATGGCACTATGCTCAAGTTCGAGATATTGTCATAGGTCTAGGTACTCGAATACTCAAGCAATTGACCTCATATTTTGAGCACATTACTAGCATATAAGGGGGGCACAGCTCTACCAAAAAAAGTTAGAAAATTCGCTAGATACCATGGAAAACCAGAGATAAACTTTTATAGTCAATTTTTCCTTCATTCTGACAAAGCTGAAGGAGACAGGAAGTGGGAATAAGGATTCGTATCGTTTTCACAATTACATACCAATTTTGATTCATATTCTTACTCCCACGCTTACTTTGAGTCATCATCATGGTGAAAACTATCAAAAGACCCTTGACAGAGTTGAACTCGATAGAAAAATACATTGTAATTCTTTTGTATAACGTTCTTTGTGAAAGTGTTAAACAATACAATAAAAGGGCGTCAAAATGAAGGAAAAATTGACTATAAAA